TGTGTATTCGAAAACCAGCCCTCGACACTCCAAAAACGGAACTGTCCAATCGTTTTGCAAAGCGATGTGTTGCTGAGGTCTCTTGTATTAAGCGAACCCAATGATGCAATGAAGCTCGATATGTAAAAAAATACAACAACATATTTAATATTCATCAGCAAACCCAACAGTTTTCTCCTTACTGCTGCTAAACCCATGTAATACAAAACAGGGTCTAAAATCACCATTTCCTGCCATGTAAAGTCCGATCAGGTGAAAAGTTGGAAACTTTCAGCAGCATACCTATGAGGTGTTATGAAGCATAATCCTGCTAGCGCGAAATTACTGTATTAATTCCAAAAAGGGAAAATGGAGGATCGTCCAGCCAGAAAACTGGAGCTGCCAAGCGGAGTCGAACAGCCGGCCTCGAGGAGTCGCGCCGGGTTTCCTGCCCCAATGAAGCCATAGCTCGACAGCAAAACGCCTACATATGTCTATGGGTTCCCCTACTTCGAAGTCTGCGTTAAAAAATATTTGCTACAAATCGGTTGCCTGCTATGTATTCACTGACGCCGCTAGAGCCTTATTCATACAACGGGTTAACATACGTAGACGAGACCAGAAATACGTGCTTTAGAGTAACATGAGAGCAGTTACAACCGAACAGACGTGTCTGCAGAACGCACGGCGTGGTCTCCCTTAACCTTAGAGCTTCGGTCTTGGGTCCACGTAGGCGGTCGATACTAATTATGTTTTATCAGGTACTTGCCGCTTCGGGGTCGATTGTGCTTGCTCCAGACCGGAGCTTTAAGGCTCAATGGAATTGTCCTTTTCCCCTCCCTAGAACTACTCAGATCAAGTCTGCCTACAGCCACATACAGAGTGTGTGAATTGTCATGACAACAGCCTGCAGTTCATAAGGAGAGCCGTTAAATGTGATGGCCAAGTGGACACGGAGTTCAAATACCTTTCTAGAACTAGAGTTTGGTTGGCTGTCTGGTGACGTCAAAGATGGTAGAAACGGCAATTCGTTTGTCTTATGGCTTCCTCGAAAAAGCTTTTTAAATCTTCGAAGCAGAAGAGGGATAAGGACTCGGCTTTCCTGTTAAAGCTATTTATGAAGGTAGACGTTATGGTCGCAGACGGAATGGCCTTTGATAAGATGACTGAGTATATCTGCTTAACGTGTTTTGGAGTAGCTATGTAAGTTACCACAAGGAGTTTTGCTGCAGTGATGTTTGCTCGTCCTATATTTTTAATTAATCATTAGTATGACACCTTAGCAACAGAGGGATCCCAGTGATGTTATTTAGGTGCAAATTCAGTCGTCACATCCGAATAAAGTCGAGTTTTCAGCCAGCTGCATCCCGCCTCAAACAGCTGACCCGGCTTCAGTCGTTGGATCTCCTTAACCTCTGAGTGTAGATGCCTGCTAGCAACCAGAAATGACTATTTGACCGTCTACCCGACGTGACGACAGTGAGCGAAGCCTACTTGCCAGTTGACTGTTCGCGCCACGTGTGACTCAGCCCTCGGCTTGCCGACGCCGTGAAGCCGATCGATGTTTTGTCCTTTAGCGATTGGCCGTAGCCGGACACACGCGCACCTCATGTGGAAAAATAGCACCAAGGGCTGGCCCCGAGCTTAGTTGAACTACTGCTGCCACTGGCTTCTGAGTTGCTCCCATTAGCCGAGCCATGGCAACTAATACCTTTTATGAAATTTAATTTTGGGAAAATCCTCGTTCTCAATCCACCGCACCTTGACGACCATTCCAGACTGTCAGTGGACCTAATTCATTTACTGTTTCCTTGCTGTTGTTCGATCGCTCGTAAGGCCTTGGATAAATTCTGGAACAAAGCGCGGACTATGTTCCGTTCCGGAGGTCGAATAACTGGGTGATCGTCAAATGCAACGTCAGGAAAACTATATTAACTATTATTAACTATTAACTATATTAACTGTCTTTCACACTGGTACCATCGGCAAAATAAAAGTCAATGCTCTTCCTGACGCCTTGCTTTCGGGTTCAAGGGGAGCGCTGGAAAAAATTTTCATCTCATAATTGCATGAAAAAGGGAAATCGAAAGAAATTCCCAAGGCTGAGCAGATAAACATCGATCGCATCGCCAGAAATCCTCTCTTTGCTATTATTCATTCTGCATTTGATAATTCACTTATAACTAGTAAGACCAGTAGTCGGTTCTTAAACTTGTTTGCAGAAACATGATATCGGTATCTAATTAGGAAACAATAACAGGCAGATCTACGCACATAACTATTCCATCTCTTAAAATGCCATAAGTTTCACAAGGAGATTATTCTAACACCAAATCCACTCATACTGCAGCCCCTAAAGTGTTGTAACAGTAAAGGAACGACCGTATGCTTATGCCATCACTAAAGAGCTAACATGAAAAATTCGGCTAATGGCTGATAGCCAAGGGACAGAGAACGTTAACGACTGATTGAAATTGATATGCTCAACTTTTTATTAGGCATGCGTTTCATCTCGATTATAAGTTTGTGTCGATCGAAAAGTTCGTGTTTTGCAGTATCACAACCGTCCCCAAAAAACACCATTTATTAACGTCTTTCTTAGTTTGGATATAAGTTGGGATTTTTTCCGGTTCTTAAATACGCACTTGAATTTAGAATTATGCTGAAACTAGGTCGGAAAAGGAGACCTTTTTGTCCGGTGAGGCAAAGCACCTTTTTGGAAAATATCCAGTCTTCCTAAATAAGTCATAACAGTCTACTCACGGAGAGCCAAGTACTGCATTTGACAGCCCTCGGGAGTGCTGAGGTTCAGCTTGAAATGTTGGGTGCATATGGGTCCCGAAGATTCCAGCTTTTTTTGAAGGTCAGTTGTTGAGGAATCCTGAAGAGGTAGGAATACCGACCTTTGAGCTCCAACCTCCTTTAACACACACACGCATATATACTAGGTGCCGACAAAAACCAGGGAGACTTAATTGGTCATTTCCGATTTATTAACCGCCACTAGACAGTCATACCTAACTCCAAATTCTTTGGTTATCGAACGCTAAGTAGCCCAACTTTAGTGACTTCATAGGTGAACGTACCTTCATGTAATGACAACGTTGCAAAAACACGTTAGGGTCGAGGTTTATCACGGCCACATGTGGTCTTTGGAGGTGGTCGATGTGAAACTTATAAATGTGTATACAGATACATTAATCACATCTTTATCAGGGCAGCTAACCGTCATTTTGATCTTGATCGGTATGAAACATCCGTATGCTTAGTTGAAGGAGTAAACGCCAGATGTGCATTGTGTGAATAACAGGCTGTGCAGCCCAACCATAAATAAACCTTATTTCCGCCTTTTATCAGGTTCCACACAACTGTCTCGTAATGAGAAACCAAACGCCGTCTGGTGTTCCGACTTAGAGGCAGATGAAATCATTTCAACTATTAGGGGCATCGTGCATTCAGATGTCCACAAGAGCTAGAAGCCCTTGTCATGACAGTTCGATCGTCGTTACCGACGATGTCCACCGCATGCCCCAGAGCATGTTGTAAGTACAGACGGCGACGTACGCTGCATCTTCCGCATACTCTTCTCCCCCACCCACGTGGGTCTAACGTCAAGACAGAGTCAAGGAGACCGAGAGCATGAGAGGGCGCACTGTCTGACAAAGCTTAATGGCCTATTCATGGATGTCACAAGCACCTAGTCTGCAGGTGACGAATCAGGCTTTCAGCAACCCGACAGAGGAGCGGTTCAGATCCTAACTTAGTGGGAGTGCCACAAAAGCCGGAGCTCTTTTCGTTGTATTCGAAAAAGTAACGAAGCATGGCCAAATGGGAGACTGACTGACGACGGCAAGAAATCAGGACTGTTTAGACCGGACTTCTCTGTCCTTGTCGGCAATAATCTATATATCTATATATATATATAAAAATGGAAGGGTTTTTTTCCTGTGTTATATCTAATCTCCGAAAGTACTGCACTGATTGCGCTGAAATTTGGACACAACCCGACCTGCGCATAGGGCCGGGTTTTTGTCTGTTCAATTTTGAAATTATGCCGATGGTATGCCTGCGATGGGCAAAAAACTGGACTTTTTCCGGCCTAACAACGCCACCTGCTGCGGCCACTTGACCTACATCCGCGCGGACACATGTGTGCCCAGACTGTGGCCACTTGACCGACACGTTCTCCGCCCGACAGCCGCGCTCACCCCACCACCCACCCCCTGCAGACACTTGAGCAGGCCCTCCACCCACTCTGGGCCGATGCAATCTGGGCCGGTAGGCAAACCACCCACCCTGCAGCAAAAAAACGCAACTCTTGGGCTCCACTTGAACTTGCCCCACACTACCCACGTAATTGGGCTGCCGCCGCTTCCGCTGGGATTCTCGGGCGCGACGACTGGATGCGGTTAACAAAGCCCCCTTCCCCCCCTCCCCACGCACAACTCACATAATGGGGCTGTCGCCCAGTGTCAGCCCAGTGTCGTGCAGCCTGGCTTGCGGAAGCCCGCTTGCGGTCACGGTCACCGCGTTCGGCAGCTCCAGGTCTGCTCCGTTCATAACAGGATGAATACAACAAACTGAGAGTGGCTGAATGGCGCCAGCAAGGAACAGCAGACCAGCGTCAAACACGACTCGGTGATCAGCGTTCACGCTGCGTGATGTTGTTGTGAACGACGGTACGAAAACCACCGTTGGAAGACTAATGATCTTAGGGTAAGGTGATAGCATATATATCGGCAATCCAAGACCGATTTCAACGCAGTATCTATTTTCTTTACGGGATGGTGCCGATGGGTATTACTTCAACGTGACGAGGTAACGCACACGAAATGCAGCGCAATGAACCACTACTCCTACCGACTTATGATTCGACAGAATGTAAGTAATCCCCTTTTGAAATGCCGTCAATTGCTTCATCACTACATTGTTGATATGTATGCAAAAGTCGAAACTGAACGCCTGCTTTTCATTCGCTTGATGCAGACCAAGCTGCGCTCTGAAAAATGTATTCATCTGCATGATACAGTTGTAAACGACGGTAATACGAGTAACGATTTTGTCGTCCACATACACAGACAGTCCACGTCATGTGCTCGGGTACGCTGGAGGTGCAATTGCTTATGTTTGTCTGTACGGGGCGTCCAGACCTACTCATTACATTCACCTGCAATCCAGCTTAGGGCGGGGGTATTTATCAGCTCTTACTTTCTGGGCTATCGTCGGTGAATGGGTATGACACCACAGCACGTGTTCTTAGGAAGACACTGAAATCGCTGATTAACTTCATGGTGAAACACGAGGTGTTTGGGTCTGTGCGCTGCCGGATGTATTAGGGGGAATGGCCAAAGAGTGGACTGCCCCACGAACACGTCTGGATCTGACTGTATAACAAGATCACCTCCAACGAAATCGCCGATGCAATATGCGCTGAATTACCTGACGCCGACGTCGACACTCATTTGCCCGAAGTCGCGGCGAAGAATATGATAAATGGACTTTACGGTGCCCTGAGTCCCAATTCTCCCTCCCCCACCCTCCCCCCCAGTATGATAGACGGAAAATGCTCTAAGAAATATCCTCGGGCATTCGTATGCACCACAGTTACCGGTAACGACAGAAGTTCCTTATACCGAAAACGATCAGCGGAAGACTTCGGCAACTTGGCACCGTACGAATGCGAATCGGTGACTTCAAAGCCACCGAGGTATTCTCATAGTAATTGCTGGCAATCGGGAATGCAACGGTTCACGCTGATCCGACTGAGGTATTCTCACAGTAATTGCTGGAAATTGGATATGCAACTGTGCACGCCGATCCGACTACAAGAATGATTTCCCTACGTCTTAGCCTCGGAAATTTAGTGTCCTCAAAAGCGGAATTGGTTGAGACGGTGTCTACCACTATTCAGACCGCTTTCAACAATCCCGGCTGATTGAGCGAACGAGCGCTTTTTGCGGCCAAAAACAAACACGTGTACCATCTTAGCCACATTATTCAGTCCAAGATTCAAAGGGGGGCAGTCACATACTCGTCCGTCGACACTGTTGCGGAAGCAGGCGAGGCAGGTTAATTATCGAACAGAGCTTTTGAATTCATCTGAGCCACAGCAACGCGTGGCGGGGTCCAGCTAGTTTCTGATAAATAACTATAATGCGTGCAAAGTTAATCCTCATGGGTTCTAGGGAGCACCTCTAAATCATATTAAAATACTTATTCTGCCCCCTCAAATCGGTTCAGTACGCCAACCTCGCCCGACTTTGTCCGCTCTCTGCCGTAGCGGACAGACCATAAGCCAGCGACTTAACAAGTAGACGGTTAGACCATCGTTTCCGGAGGGTGCGAGCAGGGTCGTCGACTTGCACGTGAGTTAGTTTAAAAGAAAACCAGACTTGCGCCGCATCTACCGCACTCGATCCTCCTCCCCACCTGGGCTCGATATCAAGACAGAGTGAAGGAGGTTGGGGGACGGGAGAGGATGCAGGTGACTGACACGGCGTAAACCACCACACCCCTGGTTCACAACGTACGCTGACCAGTATTACATACCACAAGAATAAGAAGGGGGGAGGCACATATCCCAACTAAGGTGGAGTGAACCGACAGCTGGGCCTGCCAACGCACCCCAGTGTTGGTATTTGTTATGGGTACGCTCTCCTAATAACACCTGCCGGATTCCGATCTAGACCCCGTGTTGGTCCAGAGCATTAATCGCGTGGCCCGCTTTAGCGACATGGCTCAACGAGTAGACTGTTAAGCTCGATAACCCACCTGAGTTAGCTATCCTGTCGGTGTCAGGCTGATGTATGGTTGGTTGATTAAAACAACTGCGTTTTAAAACTATTTTTATTTATCTCCGCTATTCCATGAGAGTCGACTGGTTCTAATTACAGGGTCTGCATAAATATCGCGGCCAAACCGAAAAAAAATGCGTTTTTAACGAGACCTTATTAAATATTCGTTGAATGTTTTCAGAAGAATTAAATCCTTGACTTTAAAAATTGCATGGGGATTGCTGAGGGACGAAATGATTGGCCCTAGAAGCCGTGCTACTTAACAGTAGATGATCGGAGACACTTATTTTGGCTCTCAGATAGTACCGTGCCTGCTCTCACCTCGCTGTGGAGCACACGATGGACATCGTCGGTAACGACGGTCGAATTGTCGATATGCCGTAAGGATGGATGCTCCAGTGTCGGCCTGACTCTAACGACTCCCGTGCACCAATTGGCCGTCCGAGTCTATAAGTCATCTGGTGTCCGGATTGCGTGTAATGTCTGGTACGACGCCTGTGCGTGCACCCGCAACTCGCTCGCCGGAACTCTGCATCTTCCTTTCCATTTTAATCCAGCGAGTAACTGTGCCACGGGGGGGAAGAGTGCTTATACGTCAACCTCGGCTAGTTCAGTTATCAGTTCACACACGCTCCCCTCCGTGTGGTTCGAGCCCTGCTTGCGCCCTCTTCATTACTCTAATCCAGCGGGTGGCCAAGTAGACTTACTAATGGAATTCTTCCGACGGTGCGGAACTCCGTCGGTTCCACTACAGTGGCCATGCACTGCGAATAACCACGCGGTACCCTCAGTGGCCTTCCAGTTGTTATTGCAACCCCCATATCAGCTTAATCCATCGAATAACTGTGTCGGGGGTGTGTTTACACGCCAACTTCACTCTCATCCCTGCGCATGCTTCGAGTAGGGCTCCAGAACCAAACTCCACCCAAAATACACTGATCTGGGTTTTACAAGGCAAGAAATAAATGGGGGCGGTTCGGATCCGTGTGGGCCTGCATATGGACGTGTGACCATACATCCAATGTTGACATTTGCTATGTGTGCGCATTCCCGATAACGCCTGTCTGATCCCGATCTAACCGCTATGTCGGTTCAGTACATCTACCGCATGGCTTCTTTTAGGGGCACAAACACTCAGGTGCGTACAATACGCGGGTGACCCAAGTGAGATCGTTTCTACTCTATGCCTTTCGAGTTCTCATTGGTTTGTTCAGAAGTCCGCCGTTATGTTAAAGAATGACTCAGGGGAGACGACTTACTCTGACCTCTTCCGGTGATGTGTTGCCAGCCTCAAAAGCCCGTGCCAGACAGATGCCATTGCTCAGATTAGCAGAAAAGTAAGTTGTGAAGTATGTTACTTCCTCCTCAAAGCAGTGACTGTTCTCGCCTGATTCGGTCACTTTGTTCTACAAAGATGCAACATATTAAGTTTATAATAACAAACATTTTTAATGCGGAACTAACTAAGCACCGTAAGGAGGCAGGAGGAACGTGTGAATTGTTATATCGATAGTGCGATGTTTCAATTCTAACAACTGAAATTTGCATACAGGACTTTGAATCTCCCTCTGCAAACTTCACCAGAGGCTCACGATGACTTAATCATGACTATGCAATCGAAAGAATGGATCTGTGTAGCTACTGAGTTGTTCCGCTAGGAGCTCTCATCGCCCAACTTGCGGAATATTCTGCACGGAGAATTTCGATTGAAATCCTCAAGCATACGACCTGCGGTTTGTGAAACTCCATAACTACTTCATATTTTTGAGAGGGTTGATATGTTGTCTGATGACATCTACCGAAACATTCCGTTCTCATTTTTCACAAGGTTTTAGATAAGTTAAAATGGTCCGGTTTTAAGAAAAATGCTTTGCAAATTCGACTCTTTCAAAGGGTTTCACTCTTCACGCCGGCTAAATAGTTTGCTATGTATGACCTTTTGGGCGCAAAAAATTACTTCAGCAGTAGACCAGGCAATATCATTAGTTGCTGGGTCATTAGAGCAAAAAGTCGATTATCGCTCATTCATTAAATTAGAAACCTACTCCGTTCTTGACGCCTTCGCCTTCGGTAGTCCCCACTGCTCCATCCGGCGACCGTTTGGTCACCCTGGCCGGGTTGGGGAGCAGACGATGACAGGCAAAGGTGTGTCCCTCGGTTATTGCGGTGACCTTCACGCTGGTATCCCCTGGATTTTGAGAAAGCAATATCCTCCATGAAAAAAGATAAGGGGAATGCTGGAATTTAGAAAGACATTAGCTCCCCACCTTTATGTGGAAAGGCAAGTCCCTCGGTAAAAATGCGTCTATAAATGCCTCGGTAGAGCATAGAAATACTTGCTCCTCCTCTCATTAAGATGGCCTTGTGCCAAATTCCAGAGTGGTCATGGTTAAGGTTAGCGCTAGGGAGTACCAATCCCCGTTTCCTACCAAAAACCTATTGGCCAGTGTTTGATTTATGTACCGGGGAGTCCTATAAGGTCATTTACAATAGTGCCCTATATAAATAACCTGGTAGAGGACATCAGCATGTGCTGAAACATCATTTAGGAGAAGAAAAATTATCATATTACTGAATTTCCAAAAAATTTGCACTAGCCCGCTACCCAATCGCTTAGTTTACATTTATTAGCCAGCCGCTCTACTTTGTTTAGCAAGTTACTATTAGGCAAATTTTTTATAATAATTGGAAGGGAACGACTATGACTGTTTACGTTGAAAAAGTATCTGTTTTTTCTCAACGCTCTTTAGCCAAGACCTCTCTTTTTGTCCACAACTGATGACTTTAAAGTAACAAATATGCAGTTGGTCAAATAAAAACATCGTCTGAATCAACCTACTTCGATTTCCAATTAATGTTAAGGGGCACGTGGCCCTGGGGCGCTCAAAGCCAGCTGGTGAGTATTTCTTCGTGGATGCCTAAAACTTCTTACCCCTGAGTTCTAATTAAAAATATAGATTACGGGCTTTCATCATGACCCGTAACCACTGCTACTGTCTGCCAAAACTCAGAATCACAACCGACAAAAATAAATAGAATATTTCACGTGCATTACTGTTTGATACCTTGAAACACTTCGTTGTAGTAGATATCGGTATATAAATGAAGAAGGAGGGTGCTCGAGCACAGGAATATTTTGTTTGTTGCTCTGAGCTTTAGAACTCGTCAGAGTTAATAACAGCAGCAGAACAAGCGACGGTTATAGCGCCTGTTAGCCAATCATCACCCGATGGCACGAGACTGGAGGTGACTGCGCAGGGCTCTGTACGCCGACGCCAGATCGATAAACTGATTGGCTGAGTTCTCATCCGAGGCTCAGGCTTCAATCGATTCTCGGCCGATTTTGTTTCCGGCGTGGGCGAATATTTTCATGTTTGTTAAGTTAAATTCATGACTTATTTCGTAGGTGTGAGCCGCCACTTGTTATAATGCGTCGCCTCGTCGCACAGCCAGCTTATGTTTGTGTATGCGCATCCGAACAGGCGTCCAGTCTGACCTATGTAGGTACAAGGACAGTTTTGGTACGGGACGCGATAGATTACTCCAGACTGCTCCTCAGGCTTTAATCGGTCTTTAATTTTTACGATCCTATCGGTATATAAGTTTTCCAGCAAGTACGGGCTTGTTTCTGGTTAAATCTCAGGATTCATAGCTTAAACGAGAGGACAGTCTCGAAACCATGAGGAGAACGAACTAGCGGGCGTAAAAATTACATTTTCAGCCAGTTACCGGGGCTTTCGCATCTTGCATCGGAGTTGGCCCACCACTCTTTAACATTTCATGAGATGGCATCTCACCTGTACCTCATGCCCACGTGGAATGTACGTCGAATACATTGCATTATTTGTCGATTGCCAAAATGCTTTAGCGCATCCTAGTCAAAAGGAATTTCTTTATTTGAGACGATCCATGATTCCTCCTTATAATCGGGAGACAACGTCTAAATCAGCTCAGTCTGGAAGAAGCCATTGTATTTAGTGAACAGCACTGTTGGAAATAGCGTTTCCTTTGGGGAGCGGTCGATTGATCTTTTTGGACTGCTCCGCACCTTTTGACATGGCAGTTTGAACGTCATTGCCGACGCTGCCCACCTTGTGCTTCACAGCAAGGGGACAACAGGCACTGTGACTTGCGCCTGAATTGGTTTATGGTAGGAGCAGACTTGCTTAGCATCTACCGCACTCTCTCCTCCCCCCCCTCGCCTGGGCCCGGTGTCAAGACAGAGTTAAGCAGACCCGGTGCGAGAGAGGGTGCAGGCGGCTGGAACGTTCGGACCTGCACCTAGGCGTATCACCATACACCTCGGTCCACAACAAACACTAGAGCAGCATATTGGCTTAAAAAAGGGTCAGAAAGAGAAGAGGATGACACAAGTCACTGGGCGGCCACGCTCAGGACCTGTGTACCCAGTGGGAGCGCAACCGCATCTACCGGTAGGGAATCAGATACCAGAGTACTGCAAGCGCACGCCAGACTGCGAGAGACATTGTTTACTGAATTATGGCCTAACAGACGCTTACTATCCTTAAAGCCCAAGAAGGTTGAGACACAGCCCTGCCTGGGCCATAACCCTTCAAGTACCGACTAACCAGTCAATCAGTCAGTCGACTGAGAGGCACTAACCATGCACACATAAACACTCCTTACATGCGTGAGAGTGTCAGAAGTCATTTTAAGAAGGAGCCGTGACAGCCTGACTCCAAGTCAATCAGTTCGCCACTTCACACAAGCACACACATCTGGGCAGACTGCATGGACTGCGTTGAGACGTCAGTCGGAAGCCTTCCATGCCACGGCGTTTGGCGCACTATGACCATATACCTAGATACCTGCCATAGTACAGGTTTGTTCTTCTGGTGAATTATTGCAAATATTCAATGGAATTCCAAATGAAATTTTTCTGGCAAATAGAGCACGGGAATATAGACCACCCCTGGCATTACAGGTGACCGTGCGTTAAATTTCAGGGGGGGGGGGTTATAATAGTTATGAGTAAGCTAAGGGTTATTGTTATGAAGGTTAGTGTTAAGGTTGGGGACGCTTTCTGGCATCCCACGGAGTAGGATGGATAGACAAGAGCACAGCATGAGCCGCGGGAGGTTGCTTCCCGAGGATACTTTGAGTGGCATGTGTTTCATCAAGTTTGCAAGACGTTACGACATAAGGCTGAGGTCGCGACGACCTCAGTATTTTAAAGGATCTCATATGGTCCATGAGACAGACACTGACACTAGCGTCACAAATGCATCGTCCAGCCATTTATACAGTAGTGAGACGTCGTGTAATTACTGACGATAGACTTGTAAAGCCCGCTGCGCCGAACGGCTTGATCACTACAAGCACCTGTGTCTAACAGGCAAACCAATAAACTTATAAGGGATACTAAAAAAGGTGCGCGGTGAAGATCGAGTATGTAGCCCCATCTAGTCTTGTCTTTTACGAAATACCTCCTTTTGTTATTTGGGTAGGCTTAATTTACCCCGTCCCGTTTTCGCTCACTTCCCGTAACGCAGTCCTCGGGCTACCATTAAGGTTAGCGCTCGGCCTAAGCTTGGGCTTAGGGGTTATGGGTAGGGGTTAGAGGTTAGGGTTTAAACATATGTTTGTCTTTTGGCTATCAACGCTTTCAAATTCAATCACATATTCAATCACGACTGCAATCAGAGTCAAATTTAACGATATATACTTCATACTTTGTTCTTCAGTGTGATTGGTCACCAGTGACTGGGATTTGTTAGCCTCGAATATCTAACCAATGCCTTTGGCTATATACTTGATGTCGTTAATAAACTAGCCAATCAAAGGAACCCATTAGCGGTGCACAAATGCGATCTGGTCTTGAAGCCTACAGAAACTAGGAGTACCGGAGACTGGCACGTTAGCTGATCTGTTGTACTATCACTGTCTTTTTTCGGTAAACACTTTTCAACCATTGGTTGTCAGTCGCAACGCAGACCCCTGAATTGGCCGTCGAGTCTCAACTCCATTGTAGAGTGAAAGTGCATAGTTCGTCATGCAATTAGGATAGCTGTGTATACCTCACTTCCTTGTGACTAAATGCTCCCGGTCTCAATGTACATGACGCGAGCCAGTTAGCAAAAACACTGCTCAATTATCAACCTATTCGGGGGGGGGGATTTCATTCCGGCTTTGCAGTCGGGGATTAGGCCATCACTGGCTGACGTCGACAGATAAGTCAGAAATCCCCGGTGAAACCTCCTAGGTACGTATGTATGCATTATGAAAGCATTGAACAGTTTTCAAGAACAACGCATGATCAGTTAAGGATAAGTTAAACACCCAGGCGTAGTGAAGTCTTATGGTTAAGGCCTTGGCGTTGACTGTGATTTAGCATTATTTGACTTGAATTGTCGATAAACTTTTGAATGCGACCTTTCGGAGCGTACAACGAAACAAGCAGTAATTTAGAATAAAATAACAGGATTCGCAAGGACTAGGCAACTGCCTAAAATAATTTTGGTTTTGAAAAGTCAATTTGGCAAACACGTGTTTTCTGTAACTCATCATCACGCATGCAACTTCGTTTTGAAGTCGTTGAAACGTGATTTTGTCGTAAAACATTTTATTGGTTTGTACACCACTTCCGAAGAACCATCCTTCCTAAAAGACACTTTAAAAAAATGTGCGAGTAAGCGAGTCCTAAGTTCTTGTCACAAAGAAGAACTGCTGTTCAGGTGCACACGTGTTCTTTTTCGTCATCATATAAAAGGTCATTTTGCGCGTAAATTCAACTGATGGGTTTCACTCCATCATTTAAGTTAAATGTGCGAGTTAGCACATTTATTATTCATGTATCTAATGCCTCGCATTATGTGCTACTATTTAAAGGACGTAATGAATGTACTTCTTGTATTGCCAGGTCTTAAGCAGATTAAATCGAGCGCAAAAGAGCATTTCTGGCGCCTATTTAAGACTGCTTTTGTCTCAGATTTTCCTTACTATAATCGTAACGTGTTAATTTAACTTGCCCAAAACTGCTCAACTCGCTTTCGAAAATCATTTGATATATGCGCGCAGTCACACGTCTTAAATGATGTATTTGAATCTCCGTGATGATATCAAACAGTTTTATGATTAAGTAACGTTCGCAAATCGATTGAATCCGAATCTCATTAGTATTTCCACCACACCCGCGATAACCCGCAAAAAATCAATTTCTAAGGTCTTTAGCTCATTCTTACAAAATCCAGCAACCTACCGTGAGGTTGATGTATTTTCTGAATTCGAATGCTGCCACCATCACAGGGAAACATGCTTGTCTCTTGGAAGTCAAAATGGGCCACAGTTTCGGTAAGATCATATCCCGTAAACTGCGGAAGACAAATAAATTGAAGAGGATGTAAACTGTCTACTTATGATGAATATTTGAAAAAACTGCATTACAGGATAGCTTTATAGACGGCAATATGTCCGCAAACTGAAAAGTACACCCTAAAAGCATGAAACGTCGAATTAAATACTTAACTTGCCCTTTTACATAGAGCATCATTTAAAATAATTTTTAAAAATGGCAAGTGTTAGAGATTGTCACGCACAAAAACACAACCAATCGAAGGAAGACTGGTCAATAGAGAATTTCTGGCCGTATGCGGCAGTTCTGATCAAACAATAAACAACTTCCATTGATTATCTGTTCCGTTAAAAAAGAAAAATAAATTAAGGTCTTTTAATCCCTCTAAAGCAGCATTTCCATTCAAAATTATACATTTAAAAGGAAAGCAGTTTTTGGCCTGCAAAATATTCCGTGGTTGACACAATTTATAAAATATCGGCTGTGATTTTGGTGAGCGGCTTCCTAAACTTGGGCTCATCAATTCTCTGCAAACGATTTTATAACTAGTTCCTGCCTACTTCGAGGCAAACGTCTATAACCATTTTCGCCCAAATTTGTAAACATTTTGCTTGATAAAATTATGCGGACATATTTTCTGCACAAGAAAGGAACATTTCCTTGAAGAGGCTGAACGAGCGAGCAAAATGCGCAACGTTTAAGACGTTCGAAAATTCTCATATCAACTCCTATCATCAGGTTTCATGAGATAGGTCATGTACTGTGTGCATTTTCGTCGACAAGATCACATATTTGTAGACACTGGAAAGCGGTCAACTTCCGTTAAAAGTGCTTAAAGTGCGGAAATTACAAGACTACAGTTACCCCACTGATTCCTACTGTTAAACACTTTTGTTTAGTATGAGTGTATAAACCCCCTCATATTAGATGTGGTCTTCTTCCAAACTCCAGGAAGTTCGAGTTAGAGCTAGTGCTACGGTTAGGGTTGTGGTTATGGTTTGGGTTAGTTTAAGGGTTCGAGTTAAAGTTAGGGCATGTGAATAGGAACTTCCCCGGAATTTAGCGCGAGGCCACCGGTGGGACTTGGAGGTCAATAGTCGTGTGTCTGACCAACACTTTGTTGCAAAAATGCTTTTCCGCAAGTGAACACGGTAACTGAAACCCTCCGTTGTTCTCACAGAAAATAATTTGGTAAGGATGGGTTCTGTAACCCGACTGGGCTAGCATGTTAAGGTAACTACTATATTTGTTTTAGAAGGCCTTGTTCTGTTTACTAATCCATAGCTACATGAAGTCCCTTTGTTTTATCTAACACTTTGATTTAACCATATGCACCGAGTTCTTTCATTATGACTTCTTCAGTGACAAATTATTCGGCATGATTTTCTCGCTCTCCCTCTAAGTAATCTCTTTGTCTTACTTGGATTGCCTATTTACCGAAATGTACTAAAATTTCCTTTCGTTATCGATTTCATACGCCGTGACTTACTTATTTCTTCCCAAAGGGTATTTAGACCATTTTGTACCCTGTCGATACTCACGATATTATGCGTGCTGCAAGGACCACCGACTGCGTTTTGGCTTACTTTGCCTCTGTTAGAATGCAAACGTTCTGTCTCCTCGATATCTCTGAACGGTTTATGTTGTCGAACGCGTACGCCTGACTTATTTATTTCTGTAAGGATACTTGTGTAAAGTCTCTTTCATAAACAATAATAAGACATCTGAATTTAGTTGAGGTGGGTTACTCAACCTACCGCTGCCAATAACTTGTTTTTGGTAACTCATGATGGGATATATAAGCATGCGTACCCATGCAAGTGATATTGTCCTCGGTAGCTGGAAATAGCCCATCACTCTGCATAAGTTAATGCAGGGTTAATTGTCATCCTCTGGACATTACGGCCAAGCCTAAAGTTTGACTTGGAATCATCATTCGGGAGCCTGCCTCATTTTTAATAAGCTTTAACACATATTGTGCATAGCAGCGGCCAGTGAGTTAGGTTACATTGAAGAGTGCTCATCAGATAAACCCCCAACCAGCAGGTTGTGTGAAATCTACGAAGACATGGTGCTGGAGAACTCTCTACCCGACCCCAAAAGAAAAATTGAGAGCCATGAGCAAACAGCATCTGAAACTTACCAAGTCATACTCGCCTGTGGCGCTTTCTTAATTCAAAGGACTTTTTGGGGTGGTAATATGTGACATTGGAAGTATTGGCTAGCTAGAAGGCTGCTCGTCCATATTCGGAGTAGACGCGTTTGACTGACGAAGCATGAACGGTCACTGGTAAATTTGATGAGGGTATGATATTCAACCCCCTGTGCGTATGTTTTAAAAAATCTACCTTCCTTTCCTACTTGGGCAGGTGTGGTTCACAGCAGTTTGCCTGACAACAGGTCGCGTTCATGTCGACTATCCTCATTTGTAAGAATAGCGACTTGCATGTTTGCGATTACAAGATTTGAACAGAAGTTGGAACCCTCTACCAGATCAAATTCCCAAGGATATGTCAAGCTATGTACGCGCATTGTGTTATAGAAGAGGCGAGCGTTTCAGGGGAATCTGGTTATAAGGAGCAGTCCAAAAAGACCAAAGATTTTAACAGACCGGCCAAAACTGTTCAGTCTGTGGTTCATCTGCTTTCTCTTCATCCGCCTTGGTCGCCGGGGGAGAGTCATTAGGCATCGCTGGGGACCGGACGTGTTTCGACTCGGTTTTACCTTTTCCTGACTTGGTTCTCGTAGCCTTATCCGTGATGGTTAGAGCGCGTTCAGCCTCGGCTTTGAGCTGTTGTTGCTGTTGTAAGGCCTGAAATAGCCACAAATAAGAACATTGTCGTTCACCAAAAACAGAGAGTAGACCAGCAATTTAATGCTTGTGATATCTTGGTGGTAAGAAAGGCAGATCTGAATAGAGAAGTTGATCAGCTAGTTCCAGTGTCCGGAAATTCCTTGATATTTATTCTACCCTCTAACAGTTAATCAATCCTCGACTCTCTGAGTTCTAAGCGGTCAAGATCTCAGCCATGGATGACTTGATTATTAATAGGAGCATTTAGGATTTTCAATTTTTTTTCAGATGGATTGGAGTTTGCAGACAAGAAGAATAATAATTTGTTGTCACCAGTTAGCCGTAGACTGATAAAACCGGACATTTGGAATTCCAGCGACGGAGCCACAGAACCACGAGATGACACCGATATCAAGTGATTTCTGCACGGCAATTGAAAATGTGTCCAGTCACACCTCTAAAATTAATTGCCGGTCATTTAGCTAATAACGCTGGAATTTTGGAACGCGTATGCGCTTTAGATGCAACACAATAGAGGGCTCTACGGCTGATTAGAATTACTTTTTTTCTTAGTTCATCCTTCAGCGATCCCTCAACGATATACTCGCCATTTTCGCCGAACATCTTCTTTTCAGCAACCGTTTCCGAACGAGCATCACCCTTTGAAATCGAAGTTTTTCCCTTGACATTGGCCTTGGTCTTCTTTCGAACATTCGGTCCTTTTTGTGAAGTTTCAGATTTTGGCGTTTCATAAGTCTCCTGTGGGCAAAAACATATTGTACGGTCCGACCGCAATAGGTGAAAAATAAACATCTACTGTAGATACATGAGTAGGCTTACTATTCAAATTATATATGGGATCTTGAGTGAAAAATGAAGAAATGGGGCGAAATTGTTGGACGTTTGAGGCCGCTTGGTCCCCTAATCAATTCTGACGGCCGAAACACATATTACTCGCCTGATTACTATAAGTCAGTTGTAGCCTGCTCTAAATACTAGCGTTTGGCCTTTTCGTTGCTCTGGCTAGCTGGCCGGCTAGTGGATGTTGACAACTACATAGGGTGTTCACAAAGTCGTTTGGAATCTTCCGAGTTGCTTAATTCAAGTTGTATGACAAAACGAACCATTTAGAAAAAACCAAAAGAATCATTTACCTTTCGATTGTCGCACTGCAGCGTAACCGCCGTCACCGATTATGCATTTTTCTAGCTGCCCAACTGCCATTGGTAAATGACGCACTGATACTACTTAGGTCACATATAACGAAATGGCTGCGAGTTCACTCAATTAACTACGTTTTTCGGAGTCGACAAATGTCTTGGCAGAGTTCTTTGGAATAAAATGCAATGAGGACAGATAAGCCGAACGCGCTGACTGGATAATTTTTTCACTTCCGTCTGTCAGTTTGTTTGGAGATATATTTTTCTAAATTTTCGCGCAGATTGCTCCATCTTGCCAGATAAAAGTGCTAATTAAAAGACTTAGTGGTTGCAAATCATTAATGAGGAAAGTATGCAGCGTTGTTGTATAAAATAGTCATTGGATTCAGTCTCTGTCGCTTCGCTGAACCTGAAACCCCAGATAGTGACATGTGAACAACTGTTCATCCTCCTACATAGTGCGTTTCGACGTAAGTACATTTTTATAGGGAATCAGAAAATGTCTTAGCTACCTAGACGGGTCACAGCACGCATGTAAGTTCCCCATCCACATCTGTCATCTAGGGAATTCGCAAATTAAGACGCACAAAGTAAAAAGGAAAAAGTACGGAGTAAATCAAATAGTTACATGGATAAAGTCGCAATACAAAAACTCCCGGGGTTGGTTTTTCATGAAGGTTGTGCCAAATGAGACTATTATTTGCACGGTGGGAATTGTTGTCATTGGTAGACAATTACATCTTCCAATCTTATATTCGAAAGAAGGATAGAATTCGGTCTTCAAAAAATTCTCCAATTCCCGAATAATTTTGAATTTGACCTGCCGTTAAACTTGCATTTAGGGTTCTCGAACTAAAAGTCGTATATTTCCCGTGTACGGAAAACCGTTCATTTCTCTACGGTACTAAGAGGCGATTATACGGGGTTCATGAAATTTCGCAATGGATTTGAGCCGTATTGTTAACTTTACAAGCCACATTGACAAATACAGAGACATGACGTTTTATTAACGACCATTTCTCGGCATAAAAAATCTCAAAATTTGAAACTTCTTAAAATCGATTTATACCCTTCCTTTATGAATAAAATTGGAGGAAGACGTCATTTTCCACCAAATGAGCAAATAATGAATGTTTTTATGCATGCTTTTTATGAAATACAACTGAATTTTTAAGGGCGTCAAAAATCGTTGAAAAAATTTATGATACATAAGTAGTCATTTTTTGCAAAGTATAGTTTTTGCATGCAGTGGAAAAGAAGTTCGTTCGAAAGTCGACATCCTGAGGTAACTGAATTATTATAGAATTATGTCGCAGGATGATTAGTCTTACGACTCTGCTTAAATAATCTTTTCAAAGCGAAAACGCATTTCGAAATTTCCGTCAACATTTCATGAGTTAGTCCTACTCCGGGTGTCTGTTGGAGTGCTACGTCTTTCGCGTAAACTTACGTTCCCGAATAAATAGCAGTCTGGTTCTCGAACCATCACGAATATCCAAACAGACCAATGAACTTTAATGCCGACACCAATGTTCCTTTGTTCAATCCGCTCTTTGACGTGTGTCTCACTATTACTCGGCGCCTGACGTGTACGCTCTTCCTGCCAACAAGTGGTTCTCAACTCCTTCTATACAGAATAAAACACTCAACTATCGTCTACCTCCACCTCTTTTTATTTCGGACCGAGCCTGAAGATCGCAGTGACCAGGCTCTGCTCATGGCTTAAGCTGTGCGACATGTGAAGACAGGTCTGTTCACATGGAGGCCATTTTCCGTTTAGTGATAACCCATTAATATCCAAAATGTTAGGCTCGATTTGCAGGTTTTTTCGTTATTGTCATAGCTGGCTGTGTCAAGTACCTCCAATGATGATCGACCTTAGCGCCCAGCTCTCAGTGTTTATGCTAGATGCACCGTTGTGCGAGTGTGGAAGTGTAAACGGCAGCGAACCTCAAAGGCAACCGCCCGATTCTGCACAACTTTACCTGCGTCCGCACGCTGCTTCAAGCACTGCCGCAGTTGGCATGGACTCGGATTAGATTCACCCTCGCGGCATATTTGGAGCAGGATGACATCCCAACCAGTGACCCAGAGAGGATGGTAGAAGGGCGCTCACCGATCGTTCTTACGGAACTCACTCGTTCCGTTGTGCCTTACGGGCTTTCTCTCTCTCGAGGCTAATCAACAGCCGCACAGCGGCGCGTCATATAGGCAGAATGCCATTACTGACAAAGACGAGGGAGACCGGAATGGCCATTTCTGGCTTATTAGCCGTCGTCAGTCAGTCCTACCCAACCCCGAAGCGGCTGTACGGCTGCTTGTTGGATTCGATAAAGAGCCCCTAAGGCACAACGGAACGAGTGAGTTCCGTAAGAACGATCGTGAGCGTCCCTCTACCATTGTACATTCCAGATCGCAACCGACAGGACAACGGGCCCGTGGCCCAGTGGTTAGAGGCGTTGGAGGTCGCGAGTCCCAGCCCCAAGTGTTCCACACTTCGAGATTGGGTATAACTAGCTGACGACGGATAATAAACCAGAAATTGCCATTCCAGTCTTCCCTGTCTTTGTCGGTAATAATATTCTGCCCGAGAGGATGATTTAAAATCAGGCGAAGGCCAACTCGTGGTCGGGAGGTCCAATTCTTTCATTAAGGTAGGCCCCTAAAGTGGTCTGTTAAGTGGTCACAGCCTGCGCTCCACCTTCCACCGACATAGCATGTAAATTAGGGACCCTATGTTCTATGAGTAGAGATCGGTCGCGACCCACAGAGTCAAATGCAGACATGGTCACCGGAACTACTTCAAGGAACCTGTCTGGAAGTTGTAGACGCTAAATGCGATATTTCTACAGTTACACTTATCCCATGCAAATAGAGCTAACCATCCCCACATTTGAGACCGTGTCATCGGTTGAGGTGTCCGTTAAACTCTGACAAAATATGCTGGTCTACGTCAGTCAGAGGAGTGACGAAGAAATTTTCTTACAGGACTACTCCGAATCCGATGTCCTCAGGCAGCGTTTTTCCTGTCACAGCGTTTACGAATCGCAAACTTCGTCCAACATTATGGGCACCCGCTTCTACCGGTGTGCAGTCCACATAGACGACTTCGTTTGTCTTCCGCGACAAGCTTCATGTCGGAAAACACGTCTTAGTTTTTGATTATCGGGCAGGTTTTCCAGACTAGATTAGTACGACTGTGGCAATGGGTTATTCAAAGTCCACGTTGCCGATGGCATATTGTTTCGTCACCACAACCAAATCCGACGGGGACACCACGGCGCCGCAACCGAACCCGAGTCGGTACCATCACATTCCCTCAATAACCTGCTGAGCACTTTCAGCACTCCATCAGGTTGACCGGTTTCCAAGCCAAATGTTGCACCATCTTCGGATGAACCAGTTTCGGCATCAATCGCTACTCCTTCTCCCCGGCCTCCTCAGATCGCAAACTGTTACCATGACATCGGGCAAAACGTGTGCGTTAACCATCGCAGCCGATATACAGTGACTAACAGATCTCATGAAATGTTGGCTGAAATTCTGAAATACGTTTTCGATTAGGAAGGATTACTTGAGCGCGGTTGTAATACTGATTATCTTGTGGCATAATCTTATAACACATTTAGGACTCCGCAGGACGTCAGACTTTTTATACACTGCTTTTCAAACCCCTGTAGAAACTGTACTCGGTAAAAAAATGACTACTTAAGTAACATGCACTTTTCCCATTGACTTTCGATGGTCTTGCAAATCCAAATATATCTTATAGAAACCATGAGCAAAAATATTCTTTCTTTCAGTCTATTAATAAAGAATCACGTCTCCTTTATATTTTATACTCAAGGAAGGAGTATAATTAGGTTTTAAAAGAGTTTTCTAATTGCCTAATAATTTGGAGACTGATCATTCATTGCATTAGAGCTTAGTGATTTCAGTCTACAAGGTGCATGCGTTCCGCGTAAAGAAAATCACATATTTTTCTGTAATTGAACGGATATCATAGAGAGCCCATAAAACTTTGCAATGGATGCGGACTATGTTGCTCATTTCATGAGGAGCCGTGGTAAACGGCCAGGTACGATGCTATGTGAATGAACATTGTGCAGTCTTAAAAAAACCTCATAATTAGAAGCCTTTTTCAAACCTAATCAGTCAAAAATTGTGATGTTTCAGGCCTTAAAAATAAACAGCGGACCAAGCGGTCCCATAGGGCAAATTAATATAACCGTCCCCCAACACTTTCCTCCCTTTTCTCATACCACCAACCTGCGTTGCCATTTTGATTTCGTTGCTAAGTAATTTGGCTTGGTAGAAGGCCTCCTGTTCCTTCGTCCAGGATGAGATCTTATCCGATATGGTGTGCAGATAGGCGCGAAAACCCAGATCGCCTGTGTGCATCCACGAGTACTGACTGTTGTAGCTTGAGGGCAGTCTGCAGTCCACATTTTTATGAAATACCACCAGCTCACCGTTATTCCTTCTTTGTTTGAAAATTTTGATGTAGGGGAATTCAAACAGAAGTTCAAATGCCCTCTGTAACAGGTAGGAAGGAGCAGAAATATTCAAGTCGAATGTACCAGCCGGGCAGTTCAAAACTTCATACCAAAATCAGAGTAAAGGTCAGCTAGAGAGGAAAATAAATACACTTGCCACGCTGCAAAGCCTCGTTTGTATGTAATTCTTAGCAAAATATGCCTAGATTAAACAAACAGGTAGGTAAAAGGGCAACGACTCCCGTATTTACGCGTATTCTGGGGTTCTTGGTTCGCAGAGAAGTACTAAACGAGTTCCTCTATGCCGAGTATCAAGACGCTGCTAAAACTTCCTTGACCGCGCTGTCGACTTTGTCTTGCTAACATTAAGTCGTGATTACTATGAAATGGAGTCGATGAATCCGTTGAGTCGTCCATCAAAACAGCAAAAAACAGAGCTCTATCGGCTTGTAGGTTCGACTAGAAGGAAGTATCCTGTGGTGATCAGAGAAGATGGTTTCAGATACTCTGTAAATGCGGCTCCGTCGATCTGTCAGCAGGATGGAAGATGATAGTTGCGCTTGGCCTCAGGTTGCAGTCTGAGGCCTTGGCAGACGGTCGGATAGCTAATAAAGATTATACAAAAGGAATATCGATGGTCGTTTTAAGGAGGCAGTTTGTTTGCCAGGGGAGTCTGTCTTTCGCGCAGGAAGAAGGCCAAGTGCTCAGTCACGCCTTTAGGCACTTTCTGACTAATTGCGGCTACATGTTTACCGATACAAGGGGGGCTAGGACACGAATGGGAAACCACCGTAACTAGATTCATGTAACATGTCTACTTATTTAATTTAAGTAGTTTAATATGCGTTATCAATAATTCCTGCGGCTAACTGACGCTATCAATGCCTTCCACGAAAGTATAAGTGGAGTTTTCAGTCGAGAAAGTAGCAAAAAATTGAAAAGGTGAATAGGAATCCTCGTAATACAGGCTACCTTGCGCTAACTTCCAAAGCGACCAAGGTTAGGGTTAAGGTAGAGTTAGGGTTAACGTTAAGGCTAGTGTTAAATTTTGGATTAGGGTAAAGTTTGGATTAAAGTTAGGACGCATGAACAGGTGCAGTGAACCTACTTGGGGTACCTGTTTCAAAGCTACGCCTTTCGCTTTTATCAATGGTGGTCTGGTTCTCGGCCAACCACAGCTACCCAGACGGGCCAATTGACTTCAAAGCCGACTTAGACATATTCTCGCACAAGGCAATGCGACGACTCCACCACTCTCACTTGAGACGCCGGCTCCCTCGATGCCGAACGTGTGCCCTGCCCGACCGCCAAATGTTCAAACTTGTGTCCTCCTCTTTCTGTACATGATACAATATATTCTCAATTGGCGTCCGACTCCATTTTTTATTCGGGACCGAGCCTCAAGGTCGTGGTGACCAGGGAATCCCTACGATTATAACTGCCGCGTTGTAGGTACTCTTCCTGGAACTTAGCGAGTGGGTAACTGTATTACAGGTTACTTTTCTCGTGTCAAACGCTAAAAAAAGTTTAATCCGGTAGGTAATCAGCAATTAAAACCCTCGGAATTCGAATATTTTTTCAGAAAAAACTAAGAGATTATTATTGGCATACATATGGCTACCTAATTAAAATAAGTAGGCAGGATATATGAATGTATTTTACGGCGTTCCTATTGCCATGTCATACCTAGCGGGGAACCCACAACTAACTAACATGACAACTTCCGAATGATTCTGACCCGGAGGACAAAGCAATGGCTACTGAGCAACCCAACAGATACGATAACTTTGGGCTTCTGCCACTAATGAGTTGGGAATCCATGAGGACTACTATTTGGGCCTCTTCAGCGGCAGCCTACCTTGCGAGCCCAACGGTCGATTGAAGGAGACTATTCAGCAAAAATAAAGTGTTTCGAATGAAATAAAATTAGAAAATTATATGTTTTCCTGATTGAACGTTTTGTTCTAATTCTAAGAGGAAATTTTTATCATATGTCCTTATAACTTCGATCAGGACGTCCAAATACAAAGATACAGCATAATTTTGGGATAGGCATCTTCAAACCGTTTTTATAGTTCAGTATTATTATACCGTTCTATAGCGAGGCCCCATACACACCAAACTGTCTTGTGTTTTAGTCTTCTACGGAACGACCAACGCAAAACCGTCAATATTTTAAGTGGATGGCAGACGACCCTGATTCTGGGACGAACATCATAATTGCGGCCACATTTTTGATTCTCTCTTTGGAGCACCATAGACTTCGCATGTGTTTGCCGTACTCTCGTGTTAAATTGACGGAAACCCAACAGCTGTCTCGATAAGCGGTTCCCCAGAAAACTTGCCTACTTGCAAACTTTTAGTACACAAACTCATTTTATCACATTCTCGATTCGGGTACTGGTTGAAGTTCCAGGCGCGTGTTTGGACGATTAAAAGTAGCTGCGTGATATAACCGTGATGACTTGGTTCATCCCTTTCAAAACGGCTTTAATAACTCAAAGGAACCGTATATGTGTAAATTGCTTAAATGCAGTCCTACCACGGCCGCGCTGAACCGATGGATGGAGCCACAATGCGGCCCAGTCGTAAAAAAAACCAATTAGAGTGAAAATTGTGTGCGTATTAAGTCAACCACATAGTGCGTACCAGTTCACGTTTGCATTTGGATCTAAACGGAATGAGTGCGAAGACAGTCAAAAATGCACAGTATACCTCGGCTAGCTTATAATTAAATATGGAAAAGACCTCAACTCCTGAATTTTGCAACCCTGTCTAAGTAGCGGACATTCACTGACATCAAATCCGCCTTCCCATTTTGCATATGCACTTCAACTTCTGGGATGCCGTCGTGCACTTGGAGACAGCCTACATTCCCAGGATTGGATCTGAATTGTGATATGACGAATCATACCAACTAAACTGGCGATCCTATTTCTAATGAACAAGAGTGACGATTTAATCCCTTGTTTCTCACTTTTCGTCTCTTTTTTCCATATTCCTTTGTATGGACTGGAGAGCATTTAACAGCATTATTTCTTGGTTCTAAGATCCGTCACCTGATTTAATTAAAAACTGACCTCTGCTTATCAGGTTTGGAATACTAATATGCAACTGATGACATATGTTGAGAAGTTGTCGTGAAGTTAAGAAAGGCTGGTCTTTTAAAAAATTCGCCTTTTCTCTCAATTTACATCTGACTTTTTTCTCCCTTCCTTCATACCGTCCACGGGGAAGTGTTGCATGTTAATTTGAAGGCTTTCTGTCGAGCACTTCCGCTTGAAATTGCATCTTTTAAATTTATGCGAAAAGTAGTAGCTAGCTAGGAGTAAATCATTTTATGTAAGACTAATAGACTTAGAATGAAACTGGAAATAGATTTTTGATCGTCACCCATCTGCCGCAACGGAATAGCCTCGTAATAATCATAGGCTGTGAAGAGAGTTAGTATTATATTTAAAGGTAGCATGAAGCACCATACTTGACAGCCTATATACTATCTTGATACGTATAAGGACAATATGATAACTGTGTAATCGCGGTGGAATCAACCAGGCGACTCTTTTAGCAAAAATCTACTAACCATTTTCAACTGCGAAGACAAGTTAGCGAAGGCTTACGTGATTTTTTTTAATAAGTTACGACATGCCGTGGTGCAAAGCGTATCTAGGTATCCTACATCTACGCAAACTGAAAAGTGCGTAGCATGCGCCCGCCTCAAGCTTTACTTGTCAGGAACTGAGGCATCTGCGTACATAAGTCTACTTTAAATCTATTTGTCCAAACTAGGCTGGAGAACACGAAACAATGGCGGCATTTACAGTTTCACTTATAACTTTCGAAATGTACTTTGTAGCTAATCACTTCCCATCTCGCTGTTTACGTGGAAAATGCATTTTGGCTGAATCAAGTTTTGTCTCAGTTTCGGCTACGAAAAGTTGAAAGTACTGAATTCCTCGATCTCATTTACTGGTCTTCCTCACCAACACATCTACACTTGTGCCTCCTAAGAAAGTGCAGTATATAAAAACAATCGGCGCACTAAGTTGCCTTTTTAATTCATGGATAAAGTGTAAATAAGGCTGAACCAACATTCCTCCTGGTTTCTGGGGTTTCTCACCACCCAAGTGGTTGGGAGTGTACCTTTTGACGTTTCTTTTATTCGTACTTTATTACTGCGATAAGTAAAACAATTGTCACAAAAAGCCGGCAGTTCTGTGGAAGGGAGGCTGCTCCCTAATGTTTTGAGCTGTCCGCATAAACTCTGGATCAGAAGGTTTGTGCGGAGGATATCTAGTGAGTGTGTTGTGCGAAGGTGCTACGGAAACAATTCCGACATCCCACTGTGCTAGCGAGGCCTGTCTGTGGGTACCTTCTCCTACAAATGTTAACCCAAGAACTCATTACTTACTTGAGTAAACTGGTCCTTCGTCAGCCTTTCCCGAAGACACCAGTTACTGAGGTCTCTTTTCCGAGCGCACTTGAAAAGTTCCTTTATTTTGCTACGATCCATGTGAAAGAGGCTGTTCCTCTGTCGTCCCTCATCAGCATCCTGTGGACCCAGTAGACCCTCCTGGCTTATCAACAGTTCGACCAGTGGTGTCTGTGAGTTCTCATCAACGTTTGATTGATGATCATCTTCCTTCTTCTGGGGAGAAAGGTCTTCTTCTTGGCAAGTGAATCGGACAGCTGAAGACTTTCGTGAGGAAGAGCGGGATCTGCTGCGTCGGGAAGACCCGTGCCGCAAAATTCCTTAAAATTCACATAGTAAAACTTTAAGGACGCCAGTTGTGCCTACTAAATCAACGTAAGTAGATATTGTTGGGAAAATATTTTAGCAGATGCTTGCGAGCTGGACATCGAGGAAGACATCGAAAACCTTCTCCTTAAACCCCCATATTTCAAAGTTAAATTTAGGCACTGGTGTGCTGTTCCACAAGCAGCAACCCATCGTCGCTCCACATAGCGGGTTCAGCAGTTGTGACCTTCGTGTGAACTGGTCTGTTACAAAGGGGAATTTCCTAAACCAACCGTGTTCCAATGGCAAGACAGAGTCAAGAAAATTGTGCATAAGTGCTGAGGGTCAGTGGATGACGGAATGAACAGCCCGTCTACCCGTGCCATGTGCGGCCTGGCTGGTATTCCACGCGTCTCAGCGTCCAAGGATGGAGGCTGTGGTCTCACCATGCCATGGCGGTTATAATGAGGAAGGGTCACTGCAGCCTGGCCCTCATTCCTGAACAGTTCCGACTGATAGTCCGCCTGATGCGGATGAGTTCCCTATTACTGGCCTCATTCTCGTCCCCCTTCCAAGCATCAGGGGGTAGTCTGTGTCATGCCGACTGAGGATGAGATTGGGTAGTGTTAAGGATTTAATGAATGAGTGAATTCCGGACAGGGTGCGAATTAATAACGACACTTCTCAGGTGGTATAGTACTGCGTAATAAATGCTCAAGAACTCTTCCATCCAATTTCCAGATATACGCATCTGAGACGAAACGACGCACGGCCCCGCTGGCAACGTCATTTGCTTTTTAAGTGTAGACTTTCATACAACACAATATTGACAAGGACATTTTGACAACCGAAACCCCAGAATCGTCCAACAGAGAACTGGACGAAGAGCCTGCCCTCGTAACTACTCTCTGATGTTAACAGAAGTACTCTGTTCGAGCAAGCCTTAACCTGAGCAGCGCGTATATACGGCTAAACGAGTAGAATATCACAAAGAAGGTTGATTGGTATTCGCTTCTTTGGTCAAAGTAGTAGCAGAATCTGTGCGAATAAAGATTGCCCACGATGGGTAGCTGAGCCGAGCCTGGCACTCATAAAAAATGTAAGCCCTTCCCTCCACTCTTCGTAATTTTGAGGCCATTGTAATTGTACGGGGAGACAAAGGTTATTCAACGGTACTTTTAGCTTGGAGATTTTCCGAATTATATGAAATACTTGGCTCCGATTCATGCTTGAAAGAGCAGCAGTCTTTGACCACCAAGAATAATAAGTGAGTGAAAACATCGAAAAAAAATCGCAAAGAGACCAGGAAGTAAATTTAATCCGGCTCAGAGTACTGACTTAATCTAAGAAAGCATTTGTTCAGATTACGATGTCTTCCGAAAGTCCATAAACAGAGTTTTTGTTTGTGAATTTCAGCATGGTTGCTAGCCAATAGTATAGCTTGCCTCCTCTGTGAGCTACTACGCAGTCTTAAGGGCATACTGATAATCAGACATACAGTTCAAATTCTTCCCATTATATGAGGAATGACTAAGTTAATGTCCAGTGCACGGACATTTTGGCGATGGCTGAAACATATGGACGGTTCCGAAAACGCCTCCTAATGCTTGAAAAGACCCTGCAGGCAATGGCGATTTAGATGACGATATCACTTCTGTTGCCACTAAAACTACTACTACCATCACTACTGATGGTGATGGTGGTGGTGATGATGATGATGATGATGATGATGACGACGACGACGATGATGATGATGATGATGATGATGATGATGATGATGATGATGATGATGATGATGATGATGATGATGATGATGATGATGATGATGATGATGATGATGATGATGATGATGATGATGATGATGATGATGATGATGATGATGATGATGATGATGATGATGATGCCCTTGCAGAGTCCGTCCTTCTAGTAACCTAACCTCGGAGTATTTTATGGTCGCAAGAGCGTCTGAGCTAAATCCTCAACGACCTATTAGATCCCGATTCAAACTTCAAATGAGTCGAAATCGGACATTACGACAAATACGTCCCGAGTAAGGATCGTTATTTGTCATGGAATCAATTTTCTGGATCCGTATACCAAAAAGACAGCGGCAATGTCCAATCCCAACCTACAGTCAGGATAGATAAATAAGCCAGTCTCGTGTGACTTATTTTGACGCTGTTTGTGGCAGTCCGCTTACTCGTGCCGTCTTCCACTCGCCTCACGTTCCCTTGTCAGTCGATGACTTGAGTGACGCGAGACTTTACACCGACGCAGCCAGGGCCCGATGCCAGCCGGTGCTGCATCCTTCGTTGATTGGTCGTAGGCTGACAAAGAACGAGCGCACGCACGCACTGTACGACGGTACTACGATTTAAATGGACCTCACACGGCGGAAGGGAACACTTGCTGCCCCCGTCTGCCGAATGGACCGTGTGCCATCTTGCCACAGTAACGTTTGTCCAATAATTTTGTCTTCACTGACTAGGGAATCTTCGACTTGTCAACCATCGTACCTCGACACGTTGACTTATTCAATCCGACAGTCACTAATCCCGGTGTCTGCCTCCTCTAAGCAGAGTAGATATTTCCTCCCGAAATTTCCAACATGAACTGTTGGCCTTACTGACCCCCCGTATTAAGGGGTTGTCTTGTACCAAATTCCAGGAAGGACAAGGATAAAGAATATTTAATAATGTCATCCCGCCGGAATTAGAGCCGTCAAAGACGCGTGATTGGATTCCGACTAAAACGCCTATTGCAGAGCGCCTACTTTGATAGATATGGTAGACAGTTCTCGATAGTTAACCTACCCTGGTGATATGCTTTATCTTTACCCCAGGGAAGGGCTAATGTCAGGTCTACTATTAGGGCTAGGGTTAGGAAAGTGAGGACTAGTGTTCATGTCAGTTTTAATGTCAGTATTGAAGTTGGGACACAGGAATAGGTGCCCCTGTAAGTTAGTGTAACGCCAACTGCAGTTTGGGTGTCCTTATTCCCGTTTCCAGCCGACGAAGTTTAGTAGAGGTCAGTCCGCATCAAAAATTACTGTAATGTGGCAAAAGCTGGGCCCGTTTGCTGTCTTTTGAGGTCAAGGTTAAGAACAGCGCTCGGCAGGCCGTCCTAAGTGACGCTAGCAGGTCGAAGTCGCGAAAGACCTTTTTGTTTCGGGCAACGGTATAGAGAAGGATCCCACTTAACTGTCAGTAGAATGTGGATCGTGCCATACGTGATTTATGGTAAACGTAGTTTTGTGGGTGGGACAGCACGCTAGACAGTAAGCTTACAAAATGAGAGCAGACACAGAAATTGCCTGGATTTATGTCGAAAGTCTTATCCTATGCTATTCTACGACAACGGAAATGAGAGAAGTAATTAAACGAGGTAGGATCCCAGTTAGTAGCCCTCCCGGTACTGAAATCGCCCGGCTCCCTATCTTACGGGACCGGTGGTAATGGGGGATATACGGGTGGGGCACTTGTGTGCAGGCGTCAATGACGTTTATAGTGTATGCTCCGAACTGATGCTCCGGCTAAAGTCGTAGCCAAAATTAAATATGGCGAAAACTGAAAGAAAGATATAAAAACGAACGTGGATACTGAGTACGGTCTGCGGAATGAATGCATCCTAGCTCCAGATTGGGTTGGGCGTTCCTGATTTTCTGAGCATATTAATTTATTGCCACTAAGGTCACATGTGTGTTAAAAACTGAAGCAGTAGTTGTGTGCTAGACGCGAATGTTGTAGTAAGCAATGTGTAGAGCAATTAGTCGGGAGGGCTACCAACAGGGACCCTACCTTAAACGATAAACAAAAAGTAAATTTCACAACATAACGGATTTTGAGTTAGGGTGTGAGGTCATGGGAAGTAATCGTTGTCGGCAGTGTAATTTCTGCAACAGACTGCAAATGTATGTCGAGATAAGACCCCATATGACACGATCCACAGTCTACTGACAGTTAAGTGGGGTCCTTCTCTATACCGTTGCCTCGTTTCAAAGTACAAGTAGCTCGACCTTTATGTTGAAAAGCACAATTTGCCGCCAGATATACGAAAATATGGTGGCAGACAGAGCAGCAGAAGCAACTTAAATAGACACATACACACACACATTTG